CCAGCGGGATCGGGGGATCCAAAGGGATCCGGGAATTCCCAACGGGATCGGGGGTTCCAACGGGATCTGGGAATTCCCAACGGGATCAGGGGTTCCAACGGGATCTGGGAATTCCCAACGGGATCGGGGGTTCCAACGGGATCTGGGAATTCCCAACGGGAGCCGGGAATTCCCAACGGGATCTGGGAATTCCCAGTGGGATCAGGGGTTCCAAAGGGATCCGGGATTTCCCAGCGGGATCCGGGAATTCCCAGCGGGATCAGGGAATTCCCAGCGGGATCGGGGGTTCCAACGGGATCTGGGAATTCCCAACGGGAGCCGGGAATTCCCAACGGGATCTGGGAATTCCCAGTGGGATCAGGGGTTCCAAAGGGATCCGGGAATTCCCAACGGGATCGGGGGTTCCAACGGGAGCCGGGAATTCCCAACGGGATCCGGGAATTCCCAGCGGGATTGGGGGATCCAAAAAGAGCCGGGAATTCCCAAAGGGATCCGGGAATTCCCAAAGGGATCGGGGGATCCAAAGGGATCCGGGAATTCCCAAAGGGATCAGGGGTTCCAAAGGGATCTGGGAATTCCCAAAGGGATCGGGGGATCCAAAGGGATCCGGGAATTCCCAACGGGATCCGGGAATTCCCAGCGGGATCTGGGAATTCCCAGCAGGATTGGGGGATCCAAAGGGATCCGGGAATTCCCAGTGGGATCCGGGAATTCCCAAAGGGATCGGGGGTTCCAAAGGGAGCCGGGAATTCCCAACGGGATCTGGGAATTCCCAGTGGGATCGGGGGATCCAAAGGGATCCAGGAATTCCCAAAGGGATCCGGGAATTCCCAAAGGGATCGGGGAATTCCCAATGGGATTGGAGAATTCCCAACGGCATCAGGATCCCGAGAAATTCTGGGAAATTCCCAATGGGATCAGGATCCAAACCTGTCGTGGGCTCTTGGAAAATCCCCAACAATTCCATTTCTGGACCTTTCCCTGATCCCACCCCAGAACTCCCAGAATCCCTGGTTATTCCCAGAATCCCCGGTTATTCCCGGTTATTCCCAGAATCCCCGGTTATTCCCGGCATTCCCG